CCCAATATCTTTTAACCCTCATTTATACCTTAAGATTCTCTGATAAATAGTGAGGTTGGAATGTCCACCATTCCCACAACGCTGGTAGCCTCTCAAGTAAACCCATCCCCTTGCATCTATTCTTATCTCTGGTGAACTTGCCATTCAGCAACAAGCAGCTTGGGCCCACTTAAGGTTTTTCCTGTACTATTTTGGTAACTTCTGGGTTCCTGGAGCAAATATGTCACTGATACTGAGGGATGATTATTTTAATTACCACAGATGCTAAATGGTGATATAAGTTCTGGGAGAAACAAATGTGTTGTGATGAGGTCGTGTACCAAAGGTATAGAGTTATAGAGAGTAGGGTAATTAAGAAAAGCTTCTTAAGGAAGTTTCTTTTAAGTATGGCCTATGTGTGTGTAAAAGTAGACAGGGGGAAGGTGTTACAGGTGGAAGTTTGAGAAGGTGCAAATGTCCTGAAGTCCCAGTGTACTTGGTTTTCTGTAGGAAACATGCGAAAGCCACTGGGGCTACAGAGCTGGCAGGGGCTGGGTAATGGATTCGGAGATGAGGCATGGAACGGTCCTGTGAGCTTTTATAACCAAATTAGAGTCTGAATCATATACTAAGAAAAAAAGGAAGGTTAGGGGCCAGTGTTGTGGCATAGCTGGTAAAGCCACCACCTGCAGTGCCAGCATAACATGTGGGCACCGGTTCAAGTCCTGGCTGCTCCACTTCCAATCCAGCTCTCTGAAAGACCTGGCAAAGCAGTAGAAGATGGCCCAAGTGCTTGTGCCCCTGCACCTGCATGGGAGACCTGGAGGGAGCTCCTGTCTCCTGGCTTCAGACTGGTGTAGCTCCGGCCATTGTGTCCATCTGGGAGAGTGAACCAGAGGATGGAAGACCTCTTTCTTCCTTTCTCTCTCTCTCTCTGCCTCTCTATAACTCTGCCTTTCAAACAAATAGGAAAATCTTTTTTTTTTTAAAAAAGGAAAAGAGCCGGCGCCATGGCTCACTAGGCTAATCCTCTGCCTTGCGGCGCCAGCACACTGGCTTCTAGTCCTGGTCGGGGTACCAGATTCTGTCCTGGTTGCCCCTCTTCCTGGCCAGCTCTCTGCTGTGGCCAGGGAGTGCAGTGGAGGATGGCCCAAGTGCTTGGGCCCTGCACCCCATGGAAGACCAGGAGAAGCACCTGGCTCCTGCCATGGGATCAGCGTGGTGTGCCGGCCGCGGCGGCCATTGGAGGGTGAACCAATGGCAAAGGAAGACCTTTCTCTCTGTTTCTCTCTCTCACTGTCCACTCTGCCTGTCAAAAATTTTAAAAAAAGGAAAAGAAAAGAAAAATGGAAGATTAAATAGCAGATTGATTTTTAAGAATTTCATTTCAGAAATAATTTCTCTCCAGTTAAGCAGAGGCAGTCTGGAGAGTTGTGGGGTTGGGGGAGTCATCAAGATGGAAATACCCTTGAGTAAAAGACTAAAATTTCATCCAGAAGCAAAGAGCTTGTGTCAACATCTGGAAAGAGCAAAACAAGAGAAATGACAGAAGCAAGTCACATCTCACAAGAGGGCATCTGGAAATTAGCATCCCAATACTGGTCCCCACTTACTTCAAGGAGTGAATGCCCTAAATTCTAGAGAGTTACCATCAACAGGCTTTCTTCGTGATCCTAATCCTTAATCAGCTCTGTGGGTTCTGAACATGCCCTTGGGATGGCAAAGAATGTGTCACAGATGGGACCATAAGCAAGCACTGCAAACAGTGAGGAATGCAGGGTGGAGAATATAGAATGCAGAAACTGCTTATTGGGAGTATATGAGAATGGGGATCCTGTGTCCACTCCTGCAACGTGGAGGGACATAACCTCAACACCATGGATGGGTTTACATAGATATTTTGACATTTTGGCATTTATTCCTATATCTCCACCACCAGTTAAGTTAATAATGCTTTCATTTTGGGTCTTAAATATTTATTTTATTTGCTTGAAAGGCAGGGTCACAGACAATGAGAGAGGGAGAGAGGGAGAGAGGAAGGGGGAGAGAGAGGGAGGGAGGGAGGGAGAGCGAGCTTCCATTTGCTGGTTCACTCTCCAAATGGCTGCAATGACCACAGTTGGCCAGGCTGAAATCAGGAACCAAGAACTCCATCCAAGTCTCCCACATGTGTAGCTGGGGTCCTAACATGCACCCATTTACAAAGTTTCATCGGTATAATCAATACTGTGGTCCAAATTGGAATTTATCTAGAGACCTCAATAAGTTTAATCAGAGAATCATGTATGATTTTAGGAAAATTATCAAGCATAAAACAGAAGTAACTTATTTACATTTTACACTTCACTTTAATTATAACATGACTTCAATTTTCCATAGTTAAATGGACCCACTTATTTCATAGGAGGCAGAGAGTCTCTAACTCCATGAGTACAAATTCAAAGTAAATAAAGTTTGTGGAAGCTATAACTTAGCTAGATAAAACAGGACTTCACAGACCCCAAATTAAAAATAATTAAGATGGTCCAATATTGGCTGGCACTGTGGCTCACTAGGCTAATCCTCCGCCTTGCAGCACTGACACACCGGATTCTAGTCCCGGTCAGGGCACCGGATTCTCTCCCGGTTGCCCCTCTTCCAGGCCAGCTCTCTGCTGTGGCCCGGGAGTGCAGTGGAGGATGGCCCAAGTGCTTGGGCCCTGCACCCCATGGGAGACCAGGATAAGTACCTGGCTCCTGCCATCGGATCAGTGTGGTGCACCAGCTGCAGTGCACCAGCCATGGCGGCCATTGGAGGGTGAACCAACGGCAAAAGGAAGACCTTTCTCTCTGTCTCTCTCTCTCTCTCACTACCCACTCTGCCAGTCAAAAAAAAAAAAAAAAAAAAAAGATGGTCCAATATAAAGAAACTCAAGGCCTTCAAGGAGTGCGATTTATGATGAAAGACTTAATTAACAAAGGGGTGATTAGTGCCACATCTTTCCCTTGCAGCCCAAGTTTTCCTGTTCTTAAACCTGGAAAGTATACCATACAATAAGTAACTGAGTAGATGTCTTGATATTTCTAAGTAGAGCAACATGCTGTTCAGTGGTTTTTCAAAAGCCTCTCAGTTTGCCTTCACCTTAAAGGTGACAATCATGATAAAAATGAGTGCAAAATAACAGGCGCCTTAGCTGTGAAAACAAAAACAATCAGCCTCCCTGTGCAGAAATAGTGTTTTACCCATGAGAAGAGGCAGGAAAGAACTCCTTGAAAGAGCATGCACAATTATCCTAATTGGCAATAATAAAACACAAGTTGTTAATGGGTTAATAGAAATATTTTATACTTATTTTGTAAAAAAATTGCCATTACTGAAAACAAATAATTTATATATATATATTAAATATTTATGTATTTATTTGAAAGTCAGAGTTACACAGAGAGAGAAAGAGAGGCAGAGAGAGAGAGAGAGATAGAGAGAGAAGGTCTTCCATCTGTTGGTTCAGTCCCCAGTTGGCCACAATGGCCAGAGCTGAGCTGATCTGAAGCCAGGAGCCAGGAGCTTCTTCTGAGTCTCACACATGGGTGCAGCAGCCCAAGGACTTGGGCCATCTTCTACTGCTTTCCCAAGCCATAGCAGAGAGCTGGATTGGAAGTGGAGCAGCCGAGACTTGAACCAGCACCCATAGGGGATGCCGGTGCTTCAGTCCAGGGCTTTAACCCACTGCACCACAGTGCTGGACCCCTTAATAAGCATTTCTAAAAGCAGGTAATTTCTTAGTAAACATATTCAACCACTGTCCACTGTCTTACTAGAGTAATAAGTTGAAAAGCTGAGCAGCTTTCCAGGAGCCATCTGTTTTATGTATTCTTTGCTGATTGTTCAGCCTTGAAGATAGCAAAGCTTTATTGAGCCACTTACTTGCAGGTGCACGATAGAGGCATTTCTTAGTCCTTCACAGCATATATGCCTATGCTCATCTCATGTTCAGTCCTCAAAAGGGAATGGCTATAGGCATCTCTGGGGTTTTTCAAGCAAAAAAAAAAAAAAAAACTTTTATCTGCATTCCATGGTGATATCATTCCCTCTCTTCCTAAGGAAATCTGAGATCTTCAGCTTCTCACTATCACAAAAGGTACAGAAAAGTCCCAGCATACCATCATAGATTTGCTCTCTATACCAGTTCAAGAAAGTAGGTTCTGCAACCCAGGTTGTGTCCACATACTTTATAAAGTGTTTTCCACCTCAATCTGAGATCAGCATACTTGGTATTCTCTCAAATCCTGATATACACATGCCTGCTTGATAATTTGAAGTTCCCAAGCCCTGATTTCTGTTGGAGGATCAATTGTCTTATTTACACCAACAACTTAGTCTTGTATATTTGCTTATCTCCTTCTCATTTTACAAATACAAAAAAAAGAACAAGGGTTGCATTGTGGCATATCAAGTTAAGCTGCTGCCTGCAAAACTGTCATCCCATACAGGAGTGCTACTTTGAGAAAGCTGGTATCCGTGTATGAGACCCAGATGTTGTTCAGGGCTACTGGCTTCAACCAGGAACAGTCCTGGCCATAGTGGCCATTTGCAGAAGAAGCTATTTGTGGAGTGAACCAGATGGATTTTTTTTTCCCTTTCTGCTTTTCCAATTCTCTCTCTGTGTTTTAAATAAAAATTTCTCTCTAAAAGAAAGAAGAAGAAGGGAGAATACTGGGTACAAACTTGCTTTCCAAACAACCGTTAGCCTTTCAACATGACTGTATGGGGGTCATTTGACCTTGGTAACCCGAATTTCCTGATTCTCTTGGTGAGTCTAGAAACACTCATTTTCATGTTTCTATTCCAGGTCATTCTTAGTGTCATGATGTCTGATGTCACAATACAGATGCTTCCTCCTGGACCTCTTTCTTCATTTTCTTCTTGATTTATTTGTGAGCCAGAGAATGAGAGAAATACACAGAATCCACTCCATTGGTTCACTCTTCAAATGCATGCAAACCATATCATTTTCTTGTTCATATATTTGCAAGTGAGAGACAGAGAGAGAGAGAGAGAGAGACAATGAGAGAGCTTCAATTCACTGGTTTAGTTCTCAAATTTATGCAAATGCAAGGCCTGTGCCTGAGCAAAACCAGAGGCAGGGGCTCAATTTCTGCAACTAGTCAGAGAAAAGTGCCCATGAATGGCACATCAATAAGTATTGAAACAATAATTATATGAATAAATTTCTGAATAAAACCAAAATATGAAAGTAGAGAGGATGAGTTAGAATTTAGAGGATGTATCTATCCTAGAAAATAGCCTTATTAGACCCTGAAAGTGATTGCATTTTTGGCAAATCTAAGACAATATTCACCAAATACCGAAAAGCAGCAGATAAATATACACATGAAAGCCTTCCTTAGACAATGGAATGCCTATGTCTGATAAATGACACCAGCTGTTCTTAGGGCAGAGACTTGGGAAAAATTCATAAAAGCTCTACACGGTCGACATGTGCTGAGTGCTTTCTGTCCCAGCCTCCTTGTCCAGTGTTTACTGACTGACCTAGGAAGCTTTGGTTTCCCACCATCTATGGCTCCTCTCCTTGCTCCAACTTGACGATCACCTCAGGTTTGGTACTGCAATATCCTGCGAAAAGGAAAAAATGCTGAACTTTGTGACCACTAACATATATTTTTGAAGGACAACTTGGTATCAGGAGCTGTGTGACAAAAGTGTCAATCTGAATCCTTTCCTCATTTTTCATGGCTTTAAATCTATACCTACACTGCACTAAACTTATAAAGTGTTCATTTATTTATCAAATGGGAAGAAAGTGTTCCATCTGGCAAGAAAGGGGTATGTCACTCACTCAAGGACAGCAGGCTGCTGTAGGTCTCCAACATAATATCCCTGTGCAGGATCCTTTGAGCATGGTCCAGTTCCTGCCATTCCTCTGAGTGAAGTACACAGCCAGCTCTTCAAATGACACCAACATCTATAACAGCACATTTTTCATCAATATATACACTCTGGGTCACTAAGTAGAAAAACTAGACATGCATTCTCCTATGCATATCTGATTTGCTTCTTTTTAAATTTTTATTAATTAATTTTATTAATTAATTTTTATTTATTTAAAGACAGAGTTACAAAGAGAGGTAGAGACCAAGACAGAGGTCTTCCATCTGCTTGCTCACTCCCCAGAGGGCTGCCACGGCCAGAGCTGCACTGATCAGAAACCAGGAGCTTCCTTGGGTCTTTCATGTGGGTGCAGAGGCCCAAGGACTTGGGCCATCTTATACTGATTTCCCAGGCCATAGCAGAGAGCTAGATCAGAAGGGAAGCAGCAGGGACTCAGACTGGCACCCATGTGGGATGCCAGTGCTTCAGGCCAGGGCTTTAACCCACAGCGCCACAGTTGCTTCTTACATAACATGCAGCTTACTTTGTAAACTACATGGCAACAGGAAGTAAAATCACAATCAATCATAATAGAGTTTCCCTTACTTCTGGAATAGATCTAATTATTCTGAAAGGCGCTCACACTGTAATCTGTTGATGTAAGTATAAACAAATGACTGAAATAACATGTTAGATGATTTACAGGAGAATACATTCACTATCAATCAGGGTAATGAGGAAATTGCTTATAAAATAATTTTTCTTCATTATCAGGTTACTGTTCACTGAGGCACGGAATAAGGCTAGATTTTAAGTACAAATTGCATACATAAATATGATCCAAAAAGTCAGTTGGTAAAAGCACAAAAAACACAGACCTGGTAATAGGGCCAAAATTTTCACTACTACTAGGAGTGGTAATGGACTGTGAGAAGAAAAAAAATGCAGTTATAGTGTTCAAGGAACTCATAATTAAGTGAACTTTTTCTTATATATTAGACATAATTCCAAAAAAACTTCTCTGATTGATTTCCATAAAGCTGTTTGTAAATTATGTTCCTCAGCACTGTAATATTTCCTCCAGCAATAACTGACAACACAGAATCCTGTACCCTACATAGCACTCATTTATGAATGATTGTGAAATACCGACCTTCCATAACAAACAGTTGAAAGAATTTGTCACCACTCATCCAGGCTTACAAAAAATGCTTAAAGATGTGCTACACAGAAAACACAAAAAGACAATCATTATTATATCAGTAATCTCCCCAGGCTCCAGTCATGAGTTGCCAAGGCTATGGAAGTCTTTTGAGTTCACCGACTCTTATCATATTTAGACAAGGTCATAGTCAAAGTGGAAGTTCTCTCCTCCCTTCAGAGAAAGGTACCTCCTTCTTTGATGACCCGTTCTTTCCACTGGGATCTCACTTGCGGAGATCTTTCATGTAGGTCAATTTTTTGTGTGTGTGTGAAGACACACATTAGTCCATAACAAAACAGACCAGTTTACTGCTTCCTAGGCAACCATCTCTAAGGAAGACCTGGCTTTGAGATGAGTGTTAGCATTTCTCATGGTATCATTGTTGATGCTATTTCGGTCAACATTAGCACATGAGTGGACACACACACGAAACTGTTGTATACAGGTAAAATGAATACAGCAATCCCTTTGGTGATATATTAGCAGACATTGATGATGAAAAGTAGAATGATGAGAAAAATGAATATGTATTATTCAATATTTATAGTGTCTAAAAAAATAAATATCAGAAATAAAAGAATACAAAAATTACACCTCATAATCCTCTAGAACAGTCAACACGAGGGGTGATTTCCTAAAACTTGCACATTTTACATCACTGCTACTCAGCACTAATATTTAGGAATATATGGACATGTAGGAAAGGTGCATTCCCCAAAAGTGTAAAGCAAGATTTTTAATTAGGGTTTCTTCTTTTCTCAGCATTATCTACTAAATTAACCACACAGTAAATCATTGTGGGTTTTTCTAATCTTTGACCACCGCTTGTAATACCCAAGAGTTTAAATTTATCATTGGGCATGTCTTTTTCAACACATGCACTGATATTACCAGTTCAATGAACATGGGGGCCACCTTTATAGGGGTTAAAATAAAGTTTAATATTATAATTATACAAATCCCCTTAATATCTTCACAACTTCCAAGGCACATAAGTAATATTGTGGGTCATTTATAGGAGATGTTCGATTGAGGTTTTTTTTTTTTTGTGAACTAACATGTAATTACTGTGTGGACATTAGAAACACAATTCTCAGAGCATTCAGCTTTAAAGTTTTTGGCATGACAGGGTGAGTAACTATGTGGACCAGGGTGCTGGTCTGTCCCAGTTGCTCCTCTTCCAGTTCAGCTCTCTGCTGTGGCCCTGAAAGGCAGTGGAGGATGGCCCAAGTGCTTGGGCCCTGCACCTGCATGGGAGACCAGGAGGGAGACCTGGCTCCTGGCTTCAGATCTGCACAGTGTGCTGGCTGTAGCAGCCATTTGGGGAATTAACCAGTGGAAGGAAGACATTTCTCTCTCTCTCTCTCTCTCTCTCTCTCTCTCTCTTCCACTGTCTATCTTTGCTTGTCAAAAAAAAAAACTATGTGAACCTTCATTCTAGAAATGATAAAATTATTTTAAAAAACTTATTCATTTATGTATTTGAAAGGCAAAGTGACAATGAGAGAAGGAAATATAGAAAGATCCTCCATCATGCACTTCACTCCCCCAATGTCCTAGGCTTGGCTGGGCCAAAGCCAGAAGCCCAGAATTCCATTTGGGTCTCCCATGCAGGTGGCAAGGGCCATGCACTTGGGGCCATCCTTTGCTGCCATCCCAAGTGTATTATCAGGAAACTGCATGAGAAGCATAATGACTAGGTCTGGAACCAGCACTGTGAAACAGGACGCAAGCCTTGGAAATGGTGGTTCAACCTGCTGTGTCACAGTGCTAACCCTGGTCAAAATTATGGTGAAACAAAAGTAAAGTCTCTAGACATGGTCCTAAAGTTGCAGCAAATTAAGAAATATTTACGGAAGAAAATTTAGTATTTGTTGAAAGCAGGGAGATTCAGTGCCATTTGAATGCAGAGCTGTTTCCTCTCTCCCCTCTCAGAAAACTCCACTCCATACCTGTGGAATGAGAACACTGGGCTCCCTCTCCTGCTAGCTGACAGCTGGGTTCTGTTTCCAGAACTGTGCTCTGAGTGGGGACAGCTGAAAGACTGGAAGCTCAAAACTGAGCTTCCTGCATTTACAGTATTGTCATTCAAGGACAATGGCAGGATTAGAGAAGAATCAGGATTTTAAGCAGGGTAAATCATGTGTTGGGCACAGAGAAGGAAGTGCACATCAATCCTGACCTTCCCCATTTGGAGAGGAGCAGCAGTAGCAGTGGGAACCCCATGCAACCCTGTGCTGACCTTGTTTTGTCTATAGCAGCATGCAGATCCAGCTCTCAGATTTGTGAAGATGTGTCAGATGGACAGATGGATAAAGGAACAGATGGATTTTCAGGAGTTCCTAGCTGAGTAATTATCAGAGTTGGAATTTTGTATTTCCACAATGAGTTTCAAATGCACCCAACTTGAGACCCGCTATTTTATTCCAATATGTGCACTAGTAGAGTTTTCCCAGGTGTGTAATATGATCCATTGATGCATCGCTGATGATTTCACTACATGAGAACAAGCATCTTTATAAAGGATTAGACATGAGTAGCCCTAAGAACCTTGTTTATTTGTTTCAGTGTCTTAAAGTAGAATAGACTCATTGTTCCTATCCTTGTGCTTTAAGCAAACATCCATATGAAGTAATAGGGGTTCTATAACTACAACATAACTACCAGAACTTAAAATAAAAGTAGTGACAATTATTATCAAGTATTGTGCTCACTTTTGATTTTCTCCATTACTCATACGTTGCTTTGAAACATGAGTTTGCTAAGCTAAGATTCTTCAGAATTTGACTTGGATAGCACAGGGTTGCAGGTGAATTCTGATACATCATGTATGCTGTCCAGACAGCAGGACTGAGTACCCAGGAAATAGATGAATCATTCTTATTACCTGATAGGATGAGTGCCGGGGCTGTGGGAAATGTGTTTTCCCATGCCATGGCATCCCTGGCACAAAACCATGTGAGAAGATTTTTCAGGATCATTCAGAGCATTGGCCATTCTGCTCTCTCCTTTCCCAGAAATTTCAGGCTTTGTGGCCCCCAATGCTGCCTGATGGATTAAATGGATTCTGTATCCCTGAAGGTTGATCCCAGGAGAAAAGGTGATTGTACAGGCCACAGGGGAGCCCTGGGAAGTGGGACATACATTCTCCACTTTTGTGGAGCAGAAACACCCATGATACCCAGGGGGCCGAATCCTGATATTGAGGTGTTAGCCATAAGCCTCAGTCTGTGTGGGAGCACAATGGCACTGGATCCTCTGAATGGGAATCAGGAAAGGGGTTCTGTGGGCTGTGCTTCAAGAGCTTCCCATGTCAGTACTGAGATTGTGGTATAGCAGTTAAGCTAAATGACTCTGTGTGCTTACACATGTTCAGAAGCTGATTACAGAAGCTCCATGAATGTGGTCGATGCAAGATTGCAGTGGGGCACGGGGACTGTGCAGACCACATGAGCAGGAAAGTGTGCAGTATGAGTGGTTCAAGCTCAGCCACTGAAGGATCCTGTTACTGACCTGTATAACATTGGTTTATCCATTTGAAGCATGAGGGCATTCCACATACCAGTAAAATATCTCCCAAATCCTGATCTAAATCACTGTGAAGTGTGTGCAAGATCTATTACTATGGGGCAGTTTGGTTTGTGGAGTCTTTGTGGTGTCTCACCAACAAGTAAAAGGTCTGTTCCATTTCTGTGATGTGTGGCCTGCCCAGTACCTTCCTTGAGTTCATAGAAGTCTATACACAGTGTGGTTTTCATGAGCAGTGGGTTTATGGTGGAAATTAGAGGTTCTGGATGAAGATCCCTATTTCCTCTCTAATAAAGTGGTTCATGCTGAATGAAGGAGTGGACTCCATCAGTTGGAATCCACATGAAAGGACACCCCTCTGG